TCCCAATGTCTCATCCCATTAGACGAATGATGAATTAACGTGAATAGTAACCCGACAAGTAACATCATATATGCATAAAATTAACTGAAAAATATAAAAAATTTCTGACAAAAAGGGAAGACATGTCCCGCAAGAAGCGCGTTTACCCTTTTCAATGAATCTATGTCATGTCATACTATCTCATCCCATCAAATAGATGAAAGGTTGACGTAAATAGTGGCCGACTAGGAACATCATATATGCATTTAACTACCTAAAAAAGGTAAAGAAAATCTGACAAAAAATTAAGGTGCATTCCACAAGAAACACTTTCACATTTTTTAAAGAATCTCTATCATTCCATACTGTCTCATCCCATCAAATAAATTAGGGGTTAACGTGAATAGTTCCCCAATTAAAACATCATATCTGCATATAATTGACTGAAGAATGCTCTTGAGCTCTCAAACTCTCAAACCCTCACACTCTCAAATTTTAATATATTTATTTAATTTTATTTATATAATTAAATTATTGACCGTGTGCTTCGTCAGTTTGGTTTCACACAATATATTCCTAGAGCACTTGTGAATCTCGATAGTATGTGTAACATTGATAGAAGAGGCAAAAAAGAGGTTAATTAGGTGGTAAAGCACAAATACTGGATAGTATTGTTGGAAAACCGATATCAACGCATGCCCCCTCAACACTATATGTTTGAAATTGGTTCTTCGGTTACAAGCGACTAGATTGAGTGGTTCAACGAAAACAAGAATTCATTCATACTTTATGAAGAAGCAATATGGGATAATTCATCATCGCCTAGAAAATTATCCACTATCACAATATCATCGTCTCCCGACTCATAGACGAAGAGCAAACACTTTTGACTCATCCTCAACAGCACCATTGGAACCATCATAGCATCCACTATCACCATCGATTATGACCACCCCGAGTTACATCCCAAGCTCTCTAGTTTAAATGGCTACACCACCGGTTCAAATGCTACCGTTGCAAGGATACTTACCGAGCCTTCATGAATACATATCGAGCCCGCAGGATTACATTTTGAGCTCGAAGGGTTACATTCCGAGCCCGTAGGGCTTTATGATACTCATGGAGGATATTATATGGTTATGCTTATTAGTCTAGCATTTATTTCATATGTTTCTTATCTCGTTGGTGGTGCTCTTCCACAAGCACCTTCACCTTCTTATGGATCATAGACATTAATGTCAATTTTTCATAATTTTCGCATTTCTCTTTGAGCGATGAGATAGTTAATGATACACCTCCAGGCTCATTATTTTATAAAAGCCTTTCATCATCATCCATTCGTAATCAAGAAAATGAATCTAATGTCGATGACAATAATGATATTGACGATGAGGAAAGTGACGAGGAAGAACAACTTATACAAAGAAACTCTCATCGAAATAGACAACCATCGCCCCGTATAACACATTAAAAAAGAAGGCATCATTAGATACGTATTAATTGTAATGTTTTTAATATTCCTTCATGCTTTATGCAGTTTTTTATATTTGTTCTTGTTTAATGGGAATATATATATATAGTTAGTTGTTTTTGTGCTAGAAATTTCTCCAACATGAGAACAGGATGTCTGCATATAATTGACTAGAAAATACAAAGAAAATTTGACAAAAAGTGAAGGCTTATCTCACAAGAAGCAGTTTCACTTTTTTCAGAAAATCTCTGGCTTGTCGTAATGTCTCATCCCATCAAACAGATGAGGGGTTGGCATGAATAGTTCTTTAACTGAGAACATCATATCCACATATAATTTACTGAAAAATACAGAGAAAATTGACAAAAAGGGAAGGCGCATCCCACATAATACGCTTTCACCCATTTCAAATAATCTATGTCATTTCATAGTGGCTCATCCCATCAGATAGATGAGAGGTTGACGTGAATAATGACCCGACTGAGAACATCATATCTACATTTTAATGACTGAAAAATGTAGAAAAAAATATGACAAAAAGGAAAGGTGTGTATCACAAGAAGCGTTTTCACCTTTTTCAGAGAATATTTTCCATTTCCCAGTATCTCATCCCATTAGACGAATGATGAATTAACGTGAATAGTAACCCGACAAGTAACATCATATATGCATAAAATTAACTGAAAAATATAAAAAAATTCTGACAAAAAGGGAAGACATGTCCAGCAAGAAGCGCGTTTACCCTTTTCAATGAATCTATGTCATGTCATACTATCTCATCCCATCAAATAGATAAAAGTTTGACGTAAATAGTGGCCGACTAGGAACATCATATATGCATTTAACTACCTAAAAAAGGTAAAGAAAATCTGACAAAAAATTAAGGTGCATTCCACAAGAAACACTTTCACATTTTTTAAAGAATCTCTATCATTCCATACTGTCTCATCCCATCAAATAAATGAGGGGTTAACGTGAATAGTTCCCCAATTGAAACATCATATCTGCATATAATTGACTGAAGAATGCTCTTGATCTCTCAAACTCTCAAACCCTCACACTCTCAAACTATTAAACTCATTTCTTAGAAACGGGTCATAATTATGCTATTGTTTATTATGATGGACAAATTCAACAATATAAAAAATGAGTTATTTTTTAATAAGATCATTATATATCCTTAACCTTCAAGAGAAACATCACTCTTCAAGAGAAAATCTGACAAAAAGGGTAGGTTAGTCCCATCAATCAAATGAAGGGTTAACGTGAATAGTTCTCCAATTGGGAACATCATATATGCATATAATTGACTGAAGAATGTTCTCAAACTCTCAAACTCATCTCTCATAAAATAGATCGCATTTCTACTGTTGTTTATTATGATGGACAAATTCAGCAATCTAAAGGAGTTATTTTTAATTAGATCATTATATCCTTTTAACCTTCAAGAAAAACATCACTCTACAGGAGTTAAACACAAAAATTTCCTTAAAAATTCATGCTGGAAGTACTATAAGACTATCTTCACTTTAGTATAGATTTCCTACTAAATTTTTTCCATTGACATATACAACATTTGATCTCTCCGACGATGATGATGTTGCTATGATGGTTAATACTCATATGAAAAATTCACAAGCTATTACAGAAATGTATGCCACATTTGTTGATGTTCGTGTGATTCGTGGTATGTTATTATGGTCAGATGAAAAATTCACTTGCTATTACAGAAATGTATGCCACATTTGTTGAGATTCATGCAATTCATGGTATGTCATTATGCTCTCACTATGGGTTGCTCTTCAAGTTAACAGTCCAACTCAAATAATCTGTAATGATTTCACATCATTAATGACAAATCCACCTCTTGCTGGCATGCCATCAAGTTTAATGGGAATGCATTTATCAAAAACTACTTATGATCTCTACCCAGGTGGCTCCACAAACAACCCATATGGCAACATCCCTTCCAGTTTAAGGGGAAGGAATTAATCTGCCAACTTCTTCGACCTCAACATAGAAATGCCATTAACACAACAGTCAGCTCAATACTCATATGGCAATATGCCTTCAAGTTTTAGGGGGAACTGTCAACAAAGAAATGCATACAATAGGGTGTATCGATTTGGTCATATGGTAATCAACTTGGTTGAGGCTATCAATTCAACATGAAAGAGGGTGCGTCATTTACCAATCACTACTTTGGTTAAAATGACATATTTTCATTTGGGTAAGATTTTTACGAAGCTCGGGGGATAAGCTCTTACATGCATGCAAAATGACCATTTTTATCACCCAATATTTGTAGCATATCTACAAAAAAGAGTTGCAACATCAAATGGGATATTGGTAAATAATTTTTCTTGCACCTGAGAATTATTTCGTGTGACAGAAATGACACGACCTCTTCAAGGGATTGAATCTAACGCTTTCAAAGTTAATCTACAAGAAAGGTAGTTTGATTGTGGTTTTCTGAAGCACTAAAGTATTCATGCTCCCATGACATAGAAGCTTTCTCACATTCTTATTTGGACTTTAAAAGTTATATTGATTTCGTATATCAACTTTCATAAGTATTCAAGGTATATGCATTTGAGTTTCCCCTATAGGTAATGAAAAAGACTCAAATGAAATTTAGACTTTACTTATAATTATACCAAATCTATTGTTATTAAGGAAGTTAGGTCGTCCAAAATTCACTCGAATTCATTGTGATATAGATATTTGAGAGACATTAAAAATAACATAAAAGACGTGGACATTGCAAAAACCTAAGCCATAATAGGAAAAAGTGTCCATGTATTTTATCATCACTTAATCATTGACCATTATTTATGTAATCGTATTTTCTAATATTTCAATGTGTGTGCTTTTATTTTATTTTCTTTTACAAGATGTGACTTTCTTCTATTTTTTTGGGTTAAGGCTTTAATTCATGTGATTAACACTTTAATTTTAATTTAACCTTAAACCATTTTTAAAAAAAACTAAAACACTTTAACCTAAAAAACCCTAAACCACTTCAACCTAAAAACCTTAAACCATTATAAAATTAAAAAAACCTAAACTGATTAACCAACCCTAAACTAGTATCAAAAATCATGTGCCCTACAATACGCCTTCAAAGGCGCCTCCTTTGAAAGCACCTCCATGAAACACGCCTTCCACCGTGGTGCCACATCAACTAAAACCATGGAAAGAACGTCCCTATAATTCCCCTTAAAATTAAAAAACCTAAACTGATTAACCAACCCTAAACTAGTATCAAAAATCATGTGCCCTACAATACGCCTTCAAAGGCGCCTCCTTTGAAATGCACCTCCATTGAAACACGCCTTCCACCGTGGTGCCACATCAACTAAAACCCATGGAAAGAACGTCCCCTATAATTCCCCTTTCCTCCACCTCAACAAGGTGTGTTTCACACAATGCGCCTCCGCCTTAATCTGTCAGAAAAGGTGCTACTTCAGGCAATATTCGAGAAAGGGTGTTAAATCGGTCATTTTTATTATTGTTGATGATTTTTTGGTAAAATTGTCGTTACGGAGAGCACTGCTGAAAGATGGTCAAATTTTGAATGACATTGATACTCCCGGTATGGAGTTGTCGAGTATCAATTTTTTTACTTATATTTGATAGTAGTGTCAATTCTTTTTAATAGTACGAGTGATTACGAGATAGTATATGAACAAAGAGTACGCATAATTACAAATGCATTTAATATAAAGGACTAAATTAAACCTATCATTGCAGGATTGTTTGATTCTTCAGTTGGATATGAAATCAACGGAAAAGAAATTGGAAAATGTATATTTCTGGCCAATGATGGCATCCATGTAAATCTTGTGGTTTTTTCCTGTCGGGACTCGCTTTCCGAAGTAGTTGCATTGCATAAGTTGTTGCCTTTGTTTGGAAGCAAAATTGTTAACTACATAATTATAGTCTTTACAAGTTAGAATGCTCTATAAGACAATGAAACATTAGAAGATTATGTCAGTCCTAACATGCCACGACCATTACATGAACATAATGTAAAGTAGGGATGTGTGTCATTATATTCATGTGACATAAAGAGACAACTATTTGATACCAAAATGAAGAGGATGCTTCTTAAAAAGGTCGCTCCAAGCAAGAAATGCTTGAGCTTGAAGAGCTTGTGGAAAAATCGTATTAAGATCAAAATAAGTGAATTATTAAGATGGTATTTGTTAATTTGATGATGCATATTTTATCTGTTTTACATCTCAATTTTACAAGACTCAGACGATAGTGGGAAGAAGAACGAGCGTAATAAGGTTAAAATACAAGGTAAATTTTCCCAAAGGGCATCAAATGAGAAAATTTGCAAGCTTTTGGGGAATCTAGAAAAAAACACTAAGGAAGAAGTTCCACAGGAAAGAAGCCTAAAGCAAGTGTATCATTCTTTGACTTTGTTATTGACACAACTTTAAAAATTGCCACTCAAATTTCTAAAGCTATTGGTAATGTTGCAAGCCCAAAATTATTGACATGAATTAAACATGGTTAAGAGTGGAGTTTCAAAACAAAGGGGCAAATACATTTTGAAGATGACCAATTATGGGACATAGTTCCACAGGAAAGAAGCCTAAAGCAAGTGTATCATTCTTTGACTTTGTTATTGACACAACTTTCTAAAGCTATTGGTAATGTTGCAAGCCCAAAATTATTGACATGAATTAAACATGGTTAAGAGTGGAGTTTCAAAACAAAGGGGCAAATACATTTTGAAGATGACCAATTATGAGACATGATGGCCTATGTGTATTAAATAGTTGAAGAAAAAGTTGATTGAACATTGATGTTGAAATCAATGCAACTTTTATGTATATATATAATTATAATTTAAGAGATATATCTTTAGAATATTCTAGATTAATATAGAAATAGTAGATATCTAGAAATATCCATAAAATAATATAGATATTTTTATTATTATAATATTATGTATGGAATTATCTATTAGAAGAATCTAAGTATTTGCAATGTTAAATAACTATGATGTTAATACGTGTTAACAATCCAATGGCCACTAAAATCTATAAGGGTGAATTTTACAATTTTAATAAGAGGGAAAAAGAGGGAAGAGAGTGTCAAAATTTGAAAGTAAGAAAGCTTAGAGTTAGAGAAGAGAAAAATATTTTTAGAATAATAATTTAAGATATATTAAATGATAATATAGATGTTTTTGGTTACTCAAATCTAACATGTCCATAATGTTTCATTTTTAAAATAAGATTATGTTATTTAAATTTGTAATATTTTGATCATACTATATAACTGTTAGTTATATCCTATATAACATTTCTCTAGGAAAGAGAAAAATTACAGAAAAAGTTAAGATTCAAGAGAAAATTACAAAAAAAAATTAAATTTTATGACCATTAAAATAAAAATTAGTGGGTATATTACCCATTAATTATAACTAATTTTTGTTATAATATTTCAATTATAGTATGCTTTCGACTATTATTATTTAATATATCTTAAATTATTATTCTAAAAATATTTTTCGCCAGATGATCCCTTACGTTGTAGCTCGCCCCTAGAAGAAATCTTTGATTCTTGAAGTAAAGATTAATGGCAAACAAGAAAGAAGAGGAGTCGAAAGAAAATTCGAGTAAATCTCTAAATCAAATAGAAAGATTTAACTTTTAGTCAATTACCTATCACAATAAAAGGGATCAGACTATATTAGACTTTTTACTTTTAGTAAAAAAAACTCTATAACATTTAACTCTAAGAAAATGTTTATACTCGTACACAATTACCTATCACCAAGAATAGGACATTGAATCTTTAGTCTAATTTTTTTATCATTATTTTTTAATAGATTTTTTCAACGTTAATAATTGGAGAGAGACAAGAGCTAAACTCTTGTTTAATACCTACAAATGCACATAAATTTTGGTCCCAATAACAATCTAAACTCCACACTTTTTTACATGATATGTAAAAACTTCGTGTAAAGTAAGAGATAAAATCAATTATTCAGTATCAGATATTAATGCCTAAAATTATAGACACAAGTACATGTTTCATTAATTTCTTCGAAAAAATATAATAGATAGAAAGGATTGCAGTTTTTACAAGATAAAAGCACTAGAGTACTTTACATTCTCTTGTTTTCAGACTCTTCATTTGCTGACTACAACTGTGAGCATAAAAGCCCCTACAGAACATCCAATTACCAACATGAAACATTAAACTTATATAAACCAATTAACCGAAAAAATTTAATGCTTCCTATTACCCTATGTTTTTATTCAAGTCAATAATAGAAAAATAAACGAAAAATATATAAATGATATTGTATTTCTTTGTTTGGACATCTAAAAGGAGTAAGAATAAGGAAGGATTGGTCACAACCTTCATTTGGTTAAGCAGTAAAAAAGAAAGGAAATGATACTATTTTTTCCCAATCATAACCTTTCAAACTAAAAGCAAACTTATACCCACCTTTGCAAATTAATTAATTTAAATAATTTTAAAAATTAAAGAAAATTTTATTTCAAACCATTACTTTGTAATTAATACATAAAGTTAAAAAAATAAATTTGAATAAGTATTTTCGTTTTCTTATAACTTTAGAGTTTAGTCATTTTTCTTCATTTAAAAATTGTTTATAGATCCAAAAAATATTTTATCATAAATTTAAAAAATAATAGAAATTGATTTATTAATGAAGAAATTAATTTTTCATTTAGTTGTATAAAATCTAAATGCATGGTCAATAATTAAATTAAATATTAAAATAATTCTTTAGAAAATAGAAATATAATAATAAGGATATAAAGTCATTTTATATTTATAAAAATATAATAATAAAGATATAAAAGTCATTTTATATTTATAAAAATTCATGCATTTCCTTTCCTCTCAGTTTACACCAAACCCAATTTGAAATAACTAAAAAAATGGAATTAATGAAGTAGAATTTAGAATCCTTTTCTTTATTTTATTTTGATTAATATCCAAACAATGGAAAGGAAAGGAAAGTTAACTTGGAAAGGAAAGTTAACTTACTTTCCTTTCCCTCACTTCCCCTCCATCCAAACATAGAATTAATTTGCTGCCATGACTATGTCAACAGAATCAGCCACGGTAAATACCGGAATAATAATTGCAAGCATGATCTACTAGACATTTATAAGTAGCACAACACAAATTGAATCATTTAGTTAAGTCATAATTACAGTGATTGGAAGCCACATAGCTCCAAGTTGGACAAAGGCAGTTGTGACCCTTTATTAACAACTAGGTCAGTGTTGATAGGCCTATGCAACGACACTCCCCACTACTCTGTGTTGTCATATTGGCAAATCAAGATCTTAAACTATGACACGTTTATTGCATCAAAATAAGCTAATTTATCATGTTTTCACTTTACCTTCTCTCTCTCTAGACTAAAAAGCCGTGTTTGGGCTCGCTCTATTTCATCCATCAAAAGGTTGATTTCAGACTGCTTTGCTGCCCGATCTTCCTCTGTATTGTTAAAGATAGTGTAAGACAGAAGAAAGGCAGATAGCAATAAGGGAAAACGTAACCAAAAAAAGTGAATGAAATTTCTTCGAAAATTAATTGAGTCAAACAACAGAATTGTAAAACAGAACAACCAGGTCAGCCTATCACCAGATTGAGCACAAAGTTCAAACAACTGGCTTTGTGCAAGTTCGTGCAGTTTTTGCATATTTGATACACTTTCTTTAGCTTGCCGTAATTGATCTTGCAACGATTGCTCCCTTCATGTAGTAGAAAATTTATACATCGCCTAAAATAATAACAGAATTCAAAGAACAGGTTCATTAAGAGCTATTACACAGTACCATGCCAGTGGATGTATCGTCTTTCTTTGGTACCATACCAGGTTCAAAAAACTGATGTTTTGTTAGACCATTTGCATATACTTGCATAATTAATGTCACCAAAATACTACCCCCAAGATTGCTTTATTTGAATCCAAAAAAAATATATAATTATTGTTTGGTCCTTAGTGTTACTACCATCTCACAAAAAGAAATCATTGCCCATTGGTCGACATTAAAGAAACCCAATAAATTTAAAACAAAATTTAGGCAGGCATGCAACTGATAGAATGCAAATTTTAGAGGGATCTCCTTCTCAGAGGTACAATATATCAGAGCTAATACTTACAGAAATCAAAGCAAGAGCAGGATAAGGATCAGGAGCCTCATAAAGCTTTTGGTAGATGTTTAGAAAAGCATTCTCACCAAATTTGCTCTCTTGGTAAGATTATCAACTTCTTCTTGGTAACCCTTAAGTAATGAATTAAATAAACTTATTTTTTCCTCAGGTGAAGCTTTCTTGAAATCTGTTAAAGATGAGAAACAATGATTAAGGCATTTCTCTACATATAGTAAACTGTTAAATAAAAGAAAAATATAAGAGCTCATAATTTTCAACTAGTCTAAATTTCATAGAAATAAACAACCAAAATTAGGTTTTTCTGATTTTCTTTCTATAGATTATTAGATAGCATTTTTCTCTCGACCTTCTATTCTTACTTTGCTCAGAAACTGAAACTAAAATATGGAAAAGATATTAGCAGTTTTGCATTTGATAGGGATTTCTTTGATTAAAAAAAATATCAAACACTTTGGGGTTGTGGCACTCTAGTCTAGTTTCGACTAAATGTGCATAGAATAGAATGTCAACTCATCTGTGTTTGATATTAGAAAACATAGCATCTCAAGGCTACCCTGCATCCTTGTAGTATTTATGATTACTATACACACATGCCATACATGTAGGAGAAAACAATACCTCTTGTACGTTCAGCAAGCTACCGCCTATTTTTCTGGCTGTTTTCCTGATTTTCAGCTATTCTGAGTCCTTGTTCATCAAGCACACATTTCTCCTTTTCTAAATCAAATTCTGTGGATGGAAAAAACAAAAAGGAAATTAATACCCATCCCAAGAATAATTAGTTTCTACTTGATTATCCTAACAGAAAAAGAGGACGGCGAGTGCAACAACACAGCAAAACAAATAAAAAGTGAATTAAAGAGAGAGGTGCCATGGCTCGTAACCACCGAGCCATATACCCTTGCACCAACATTAACCATTGAGCTAAGCCCCGTTAACTGCCAACATACCACTGCCCAGAACGTCGAATCCTACGACCACAATGCTAATGCCCATCATTCTTTCACCCGAGAACTTCAATGTCGAACCACTCCTTAGTTATATCAACACTCCTTCGACCAACGCTCAACACTCGACTACTAAACCAACCATTGACCACAATCCTCGACAGCAAGCAAAGGCCAACACCCCCGCGTCTTCTCAAGCCAGAAATTATGCCTTACACCAAGACCCCAAATGAACCCATTGAAGACACTTACAATAAGCCAAGCTACCCCGAGATTAACACTGAAGCCTTCACTGCTTCAATGTGTTCATAGTCGAACCAACCATTAACCCCAAAACGTGCAAACGGCTACCCAAACCCAAAAAGAAACAAAGAATGTGATTAAAGAACCCAATGAGAGGAAGATCGAGAAAAGCATAAATGGGAACGATGGACTTTACCTTTCGACAACGATGACTCTTGGTGGCCAGAGGCTCCGTTCATCAATCCGAACGGTCAACAGGTAAGAAGCAACGCGATGATCAACATACTCCCACCACGGTTCGATCCAACGGTTCAATCTCACGTAATCGGAGGTAAAAGGAACAAGATTTTCATTTTGCCCCTTGTCTTTAATTTGAAATATGCGGCAGCTGTGCAAAGCGAATTTAGGGTACAAAAACCCTTTAAAACTAACCTATTTGTTTCATGCAACCCGCGAGCGTTTGGGATATAAAGGATTAATTCTTAATACAGTCATGCCATCTTTTAATACCATCTATTTTGGTCCTATGTGCATTTCATATATTTGGTCTGGAGGTTATGATTTATTTTTAATCTGGTCACTTAGGTAATTTGGGTCCTTCGAATTAAGGTTTCAGGTTTTTTTTATTAATTCAATTAGGTCCAAAATGCATACTTTTATTAGTAATTAGGCTTCACAAGTTTGATTTTTATTCAATTAAGTTTCTAGATGCATAATTCGATTTATAATTAGATCTTGCATTCTTGATTTTTCTAAAATAGGTCCTCAGGCATAATTTGTTTAAAGATTAAACCTTTTAATTCAGGTTTTATTCTAAAATAGGTTTTAAAGATTACACATTAAATTTGGATTAAAATTTGATTAATTTGGCATTAATCCCATGACTAGTTTCAGTTAGGTCTTAATTAGTGGATACTTGATTAATTTGGCTTTATTTATTAAATAGGTTCAATTTGATCCTTAATTGATATTTGATCTAAATTTATCTATTAATTCAATTTTTTTATAATTTGTAATTAATTAATAAAATTAACTTTGATTCTTTGTTAGTTTCCATGCCTAGTCATTTATTATTTTATTTTTCGTATGTGGTTACTAATTTTGTGCATTATTTGTTTTTTAAAAATTCGTTACAAGCAAATTATTTTTCTCTTTTAAAAAATTGAGACAATGTCACTTTGTTATGTCGACTAAACGAAGTAGTGTCTTAAGTGGCTGGATTGTGATCCTTTGGTTGTACATAATAAATTAATATCCTCCTTAAATGATGTGGGTCTCCTTTTTGAATGGGTGCAAACATAAATTGTTGCTTCCAAACGAGGTCCACTATATAGTTTTTAAAACATCGCATTCATATGTGAGACTAAAATTAGCTTAAATTTGTAAAAAAAAATAAACATAGTGTAATTTCTAAAGGTACCAATTTTTTAAAGCATTGCATTCATATGTTCTGAACTTTCTTAACATATTGACAACGCACACACGCACACTACAGACGTAGTTGCTCGAACTTATAAAAATAAATTTCACAAACATCCTTAAAATAATGACAAGTGTCATTACCGTTTTTTGCCCCGGTGGGGGAAAAGACCAGTACGACTTAGGTATGTTTTGGTAAAGATTTTAAAATGTGAGGAGTCGCCACCAATCATTTTAAGGTGTGATCGGGACACCATGAAAACCATGTAAGTTTAATAAAATATTTTTTATCTTATCAAAATACCAAGTTTAGGGCTCACAAAAACCAAAAAACAGGTTCGTGAGTCAGTTACACATGGGGAAGGATTAGCACCCCATAACGCCCAAAATCGGTACTAGTTGATTACCTTATATTTAAAATTGGAAATTTTAAGTTTGAACTTTATTTAATCGAAAATTCACTGGATGCATAATTGAAAAGGATGTTCGTTTATTTAAGCCAACAGTGTTCGCCCTCTAGCATGAATGTGGGAGATCAACTCTTATGCCCAATATCCGGACATTACCTTGATTTTAAGAAATCATGATGCAGTCTTGAAAAGGATGTCAACCTACTTCGGGAATCACTAGTAGTCACCCCTGAGCATACTTGTGGGAGATATACTATTAACTCCATAATAAGTGAACATTGCCTTAGGTTTTAAAAACTTGTGCAGTTAATCAATCTATTGTAAACTAATTTTACTAGGTGAGTTTATTAAAGGATTTCCTAACTTAAAGTGTCAATTTATGAAGATTTGAGAGCCTAAAGGTTTAGACCTAAAAATGGAGTCTCTAATATTAACCCTAATTGATTTTGCCTAATTATTTAATCGAATAATCGAGTTGGTCCTCCAAGCATATTAAATGAGGAAGATTATTTCCTAATTTAAGGACTAAAGTTTGAAAAGATTAAGGTTAAACTCTAATTATTAAACCTAATTAATTACCCTTTTTTTAATTGAATAATCGAAATGGGTCATCGTGCATCTAAATGCGAGAGCTAAAATCGAATTATTCCCTAAATCAGAGTCTATGTGTGGGAAATCTAAATCTAAGGTTTGATTTCAAAATCAAATAAATTAAGGAAAACATAAAATTTAAATAATATAAATTAAAAGCATCAAAATAAAATAAAAAGAAATTAACAAGCATGCATAATAGAAAATTTAAATGTACTAAAATTAACAATACAAATTTAATAAGAACTAATGAATAACTAAACAATTATAAAATTGAATTTATTATACCCAATTAATATTAAGTTAATCAATAAAAATTAATCTAGGGATTAAATTAAAACATGCAGAATAATTTAGGGGCTAAGTTAAAAATAACCATACGAGTTCAGAAAAAGAGACCAAATTAAAATAATTTAAAATTAAGCATGCAATTTCAGAAATAAAACACTAACCTAAACATAAAAATGAGGGTAAACTAAGGGGATCTAAAACCAATTTTCCATTTTTTGTAAGCCAAATATGCACTAATAAACACAAATGCAAAAATTACAAGATCAGACCAGTAGGATTAAAATAAAATTAAAACAATCACTACATGTGATCAAAATGCAAAAACACGCGTAAAATAGAGAGATTAAAGTGCAAATCTTCCTTTTGTAGCCATAATACACTCAATAAAAACAAAAATAGTGAAATAGCACTATTAGGACACTAAAATTAAAATAAGATAAACATGCACGAAATCAGTGACTATAATGTAAATTCAAGCGAAAATAAGGGGATCTCAACATAAATAACCCATAAATTTAAACCAAAATAATTAATTAAATGTAAAAATGTAAAATTACAACCTAAGTACATGAATTCGAACAAAATAATAAAAAAAAGATGAACAGGTGACCATATTGTGAAAACACGATAAACCTATAGGGACTACAACAAAATTTACCTTTAAACTTCTACTATAAAAGCCACTTTACCTTTTTTATTTGTTCATTTGTAACCTAACCCAAAAAGAACTCTCCATTTTTCTCTTAACTCTCTCTTTTCCTTTGCTCGACCGAGAGCCAAACCCCATCAAAATAACGCAGTCGGCCACCACCCACTGTGGCTAGAGTTACTAAAATTGAACCCCGAATGAATCTACACACTTTGATTTACTCACCTAGCCCCTAAACAAGACCTAAAATATCCTCAAAACCTACATGCAAGACCTAGATCTCAAGAGTCCTCTGACTCTTTGGCTACTCTCACCGGTGACCTAACCACGACGAACCGAGCCCCCAAGGAGAAGCTCTGTCTCCCTTCAAGTAACCCCTTTTACCCCATTTTTTATTATTTATATTTTTAGTTCGATTAGGAAAAAAACCTTCAAAAACAAAAAAAAAAACCTAGAATTTGTCTTAATTGGTATTGCAATGAAAAATGAGGAGAGATCTCCCTTTACATCTTTCTTTTCCCGGGTTTTATACCCAAGATTTTACAGATACAAATAATAATAATAAAATCTTAATCTGCTTGCTCCTCTGACTTCCATTGTGTATGATGATTTGCGTTTTTAATGCCCTAGATTTTTTTAGGTTTTGTTGAGATTTCTGATAATATTTGGTTCAGCTAGGCTTGACGGTTGCGACGACCGATGTGGTTAAACGTGGGACGAACTCGATCGGTGGCTGTGGGACTCAACTTTGCCAGTGACGATGGCAGTTAAAAATATATTAAGGTTAGGGTTAGATTAGGTTAGTTTAGGTGTTGGGCTAGGGTTTTAGTTTGGGCTCGGGTTTGGATGTTGGGTATTGGGTTTGTAATAAATAATAATAATAATATTTTATAATAAATAATAATAATAATTTATAATAAATAATAATAATAATATATAATAATAATAAATAATAATATAATGGTTGAAAAATGGTGACTAAAATTGCCCCTCTTGGCTCATTGCAGTTGTATTGGAATAGAGCAAAGACACAAAGCAACATTTTTCAACGTGACTACTGCTTGTCGAGCTGCAAGTTCTTCTCGTTATGAACTCTTCGTTGGGGATGTCAATCCACCTCTTTCTACGATGGATGATTGAACAAGTTAAACTTATTCTTTCAAAAATGTTGACCCAACTCCATCTGCGATCGTTGACTTAAGGTGATGTTGATCTAACTCTTTATATTATGGATAAGCCAAGGTCGGTGTTGTTCCAACTCCTTATGTGATGGAATTGAGCTAAAGTTGAATAAGTTCTTCTCATTATGAAATTTTTCTCCCTCATTGGATAAGTTCTTCTTATTACAAACCCTTCCATTGGAAATATTGATTCACCTTCTTCTATGATGGAATCGAGCTGAGGTTGAATAAGTTCTTCTCATTACGAACTTCTTCTCCCTTATCGGATAAGTTCTTCTCATTATAAACCCTTCTATTGGAAATGTTGATCCACCTCCTTCTATGATGGAATTGAGCTAAGGTTGAATAAGTTCTTCTTATTATGAACTTCTGAACCTTTCCATTGGAAATGTTGATCCACCTCCTTTTGTGATGGAATTGAGCGAAGGTTGAATAAGTTCTTCTCATTATGAACTTCTTCTCCCCTATCGGATGAGTTCTTCTCATTACAAACCCTTCCACAAAACTGTTTGGTTTATCCTCTCTTTGAATAATTTTACCTACAAAAGATCATCATATGTCATTGATATGTATTTGAAGTACCTAGAGGGTAATGAACATATGGTCCTTAATTCTTTGCTGAGATCCACTTTTTCAAAGATAAAAATGTAGACCGAATCTTTGCTAAAACTTGTCTTCTTTTGTACGAAATCATGAAATGAAATCTTTGTTTATTTTTTAATTCCTGTCAGATATTCAAAACTTGATGACAAATGAAAGTGTATGCTCTTATCTTACAAATGCCTAAATATGCACACATGATGTAATTTTCGTGTTTCGAGCTCTATGGTTTTGTAA